TTTTGTTTCCACAGAAAATGAGAGGCTGTGGATTCATTTTGAGTTAAGAAAAATCAGGTTCAATAAAGGAAGACCACCTGAGAAATCTCCGATAGGAACAGATGGCCCAGATGACAGAATTCTTCATTCAGAACAGGTTCAAGACTGCTGCCTGAGATGATCAAGACTCACAGGATACTCCAGTCAGGACTTGATAATAATTTTCTTTAGTTCCCCATAAGATTATCAGCGTCCCCTACCAGCAGGAAGTAGCCTGGAATACTACTCCCACATTCCCAAAAAATGAACTATGAGTATTTTCCTTTGTTTAAAAAAAAAAAAAGAGGGAAATGGTGTGGGAGAATTGTCTGTATTCTGTCAATCATATTTTAATAAAACGCTGATTGGCCAGGCAGGCAGTATAGGCGGGAAAGCCAGACAGGAAGTAGGGGTGGAGCAAAGAGACTGGGAGTATTCTGGGAAAACAGGAGGCTCTCTCCGCTATTCCCGCGCAGACCACCACCGAAGAGGCAACAACATGTGAGCTGACAGCTGAAAGAGGTACCAAGCCATATGGTTAACATAGATAATGATAATGGTTTAATATAAGTTACAAGGACTAATAAGAAGCCTGACCTAATGGGCCAATCAGCTTTATAACTTATAGAGATCTCTGTGTGATTGATTTTCTCTGGGACTTGCTGACTGTGGGGTACCAGGCGGGACAGATACCCCAACAAGGCGGCCCTTGTGTTACAATTATATATAATGCTAACCCTGTACTGTCTCACAGACTTGGGAAACATCTGGAAGAGCAGTAACAACAACAATAAAGTAATTTCAGCAGGGGTACCCAGTGTTTAGAAAGTGACACTCTGAAACCATGGTGCCAGGGACGAACTGTATTCTCAGAGCTGTTGCAACGAAGACCACTGAAGCCCTGCAAACCTTAAAGGCTGGTTTTTTAATTTATTTTATTTATTGGTGATTTAGGTGGAGAATGTCTTTGTCTCAATTACATGTACTTCTAGAACACAATATCCAACTAAAAGAATTTAACTATTTTAAGACTATATCTCCAATGAAAATGGAAGTTGTCAATGAAATTAACCCCACATTGAGTTTCTGATGAGACTTTTTAAAATTTTTTTTTGAGTTATATAGTTTTCCCTGTTACCCTCCCTTCTTCTCCCTTCCCCTTCTACCCTCTCCTAAGATTCCTAGGTTCCCAATTTACTCAGGAGATCTTGTCTGTCATTGCTGTTGTTTGTATCCCAAAACTAGTTGGCAGTTCTGTTGCTGAAACACCACATTAGTTGTAGGATATGGAGAAATCAGGCTGAACTGAGTCATGAGCTCCCATTCCTGCTGGCTAGCTTTTTAGGGAAACAACAACAACAGAAAAACCAAAAAACAAAAACACCAGCTGAGCCGTGGTGGTGCAAGTCTTTAATCCCAGCACAGGAGGCAGAGACAGGAGGATCTCTGAGTTCAAGGTCAGTCTGGTTTACAAAGTGGGGTCCAGGACAGTCAGGGCTACGTAGAGAAACCCTACCTCAAAAAACAAAACAAAACGAAACGAAAAAAGAAAACAACAACAAGGAAAAACACCAGAAGGTACAATGAGGGTGACAATGATTTTTGCTTGCCTCAATTATAAAAAGAAACTTAAAATTTTTTTTTACTTTAGCTAGGTGGTAGTGGAACACACCTTTAATCCCAGCTCTTGAGAGGCAGAGGCAGGTGATCTCTGTGAGTTCAAGACCAGCCTGGTCTACAGAGTGAGTTCCAGGACAACTAAAAAACAAAACAAAAAAAAAACATTTTTTTTTTACTTTAAATTATGTGTATGCACATATATGTATACATGTATATAGCTGTGGCAGAGGCCAGAGAACAGCATTCCCTTGGGCGGGTTCGAAGTTGGTAACGAGAGTGCTAGGAACTGAAGCCAGAACCTCTCTGCAAGGGTGATATGGATCTTAACTGCAAAGTCATCTGTCTAGCCCAGTAAACTTTTTGCAGTGATGGCAGACACTCAGAGCAACTCAAGCTACTGAAAATAAGTGACTGTTGCTATGGCATTGTGGCAATTCTCAACTACAAATGGAAGAAAACTGATCAGACATAGCTATCATACAAGCCACCCAAACACCCCTCCCTGCCAAAAAAAATTCCCCAGGGAATGTCCTCAAAGAGGTGAAATCGATGTATCAGAACTAAAGCGGTGGAGTGTTGTACAGCTGTTTCGGTCTAACTGAAAGATGCTCCCCTCAAGAGAAAGGAGGCCCTTAGGAATGAGGAAACTGAGAAAGGTAAGACCCATGAAGTCCTCCTTTTAAGTTGTACAATCAGTAGGCAACTACTGTGGAGAAAACCTCTTGATCAACGAGCTGCAGAGGTGCAGTGTTCATGAGCTATTTTCCATGGTGAGGTGGATTTTTCAATAATATAGCTACTTTTGAGTTACCATGTTCCTGTAAATGACCCCAATAAACTCACTGGTTCATCACACTAGATTTGAACTGTTTCCTTGGTCTGCTGTTGGTGTCTTATCTAGGGTGAACATATTTAGTCCCGTCTCTCCAGAAGTAACACAGGGCTTTGGAACACTGAAGACAGACATCATGTGCCTCTCTCTCTTTCTCATCAGTATATGCATCTCTAATTTGTTTAGCTCTATCTTTTCTGTTTTCTTTCTGAATTATGGTAAGGTCACTCAAAATTCTATTTGTGAGGCACATAAACTTCAAAAGACAAGTACAAGAGCCAGGCAGGCATGGCGATGCACAGGAGGCCAGCCTCGTTGAACAGTGAATTCTCAGATAGCTAGACCCTGTGTTAAAAGCGATGAGGGGGTAAGGTACAAGGACATCCATAGTAGCATAGTTCTATAATGTTCATGAATTGTAAACACCCCCAAATGCTACCAACAGAAAAATAACAAATTATAATGCATTCATATAACATAGCAACAAAACTACAGCTATATACAATACTCACAATGCAATACTAAGAGCAAAGACAAAAAAGATATATGACTACATCTCTATAAAGTCCAGCCCTCCCCTTAAGATTTTTGTGTGTATATATGCATATATATATTGTGTAAGAATGTTTGCCCTGGGGGGCTGGAGAGATGGCTCAGTGGTTAAGAGCATTTCCTGCTCTTCCAAAGGTCCTGAGTTCAATTCCCAGCAACCACATGGTGGCTCACAACCATCTGTAATGAGGTCTGGTGCCCTCTTCTGGCCTTCAGGCATACATGCAGAAAGAATATTGTATACATAATAAAAAAAAAAAAAGAATGTTTGCCCTGTAGAGATCAGAAGGCACTAGAAACTCCTGGAACTGCCATTATGGAGGTGGGAATAGCATGTAGCTACAGGGAAGGAAACCCAGGTCTGCAGCAAAAACAAGTGTTCTCAACTGTGGAAGGTTTCTCTAGCCTTCATATAACACCCTCCCCTCCTTTCTGTTTTTTTGATACAGGGTTTCTTTGTGTAACAGTCCGGGCTGCCCTGAAACTTGTTCTGTAACCAGCCTGGCCTCAAACTCCAGAGATTCTCCTATCTCTGCCTTTCAAGTACTGGGATTAAAGAGGTGCGCCACCACCACCACCCAGCCCATATATCCCAATTTAAACATTTCTTTATTTTACCCCTCGAGACAAGGTTTCTCTGTAGCTTTGGTGCCTGTTCTGGAACTAGCTCTTGTAGACCAGGCTGGCCTCGAACTCCCAGAGATCCGCCTGCCTCTGCCTCCCGAGTGCTGGGATTAAAGGTGTGCGCCACAAACATTTATTTCTTGACTGGTTGATTGTCATCTCTCTAAAGCAAATTCAAGCAAAATCACATTGTGAGAAGTCAGAATAGTAGCTACTTGTGATAAATGATTAGAAGGTATTAAGGCTTCACAGTGCTGACAACAATCAATTTGGAAAACAGCCTTCAGGTATTGGCTAGGTGTTAATTTAAACTGTACATTTGTCTGGAAATCTGCTTGTGGGTTATGTTTCAAAACTTTAAGAAAATATTTAAGCTGAATGTGATGGTATTCATCTATAATTCTACCATAATTAATTTTGTAATTCTCCGGAGGCAGAAGCAGGAGGATCAAATTTGAGGCCAGAATGGGCAACATGACCTCGTTATGTTAGAACACAAAACAGCAATAAGAAAAATAACAACAACAACAGTCAAGCATGGTGTTGCACACCAGTAATTCCAGCACTGGCACAGCAACTCTGTGCATAATCTGACAACAACAACAACAAAAAACCAACCAACTAAACAAACAAAAAAACCCAAACCACCAAAATAAAAACCCAGAAACATATCCCTCCCCATATATGTACATTTGCAGACCCCAAGATAAAGAATATAAAATATACTTAATCATATAACAGTCAGTATAAAAGGTGAATGTTCTTGTAATCTTATCTTTTCATCCCTCTGGAATCAAACTGTCCATTTTAATTCAACCTACCTTTTTTATTTTCAAGTTTTCGGACCAAGGACACACACACACACACACACACACACACACACACACACACACACACA